TGATCTGTTCTGTACGACATCTATTGCACGTCTGTCCGTCCTGGAAGAGGGATCCCTCCTCAGTTGCTCTTCCTGAGGTTTCTACCGTTTTTTCCCCGTTAAAGGGTTTTTTGGGGAGTTTTTCCTGATCAGCTGTGAGGGTCATAAGGACAGAGGGATGTCGTATGCTGTAAAGCCCTGTGAGGCAAATTGTGATTTGTGATATTGGGCTTTATAAATAAAATTGAAATAAAATTGAATTGAATTGAATCTAAACATGAATCAGCTGATTGTATGATGTCATCATCAGATGGTGGTGAATGGCGTCAGGGAGATGATGTCATGAGGAAAGAGGAGGAGCTCGGTGGAAACTTTAAGTTTGTGTTGACAAGTGTCATCAATGTCATTCATCAGACGCCTCCTGTTGTCATGGTAACCTGCTGACTGAGGCTCAACAACACATGACCTCCTCATAAACAGAACTGCAACCTGTGTGTCCCCGACAGGAAGTGATGTAACGGCACACTTTTTGCTGTTACATTAAAAAACAACCCAGACAGTTCAGACCAGGAAGTCATGTGATCACATACAGTACAGGCCAAAAGTTTGGACACACCTTCTCATTCAATGCGTTTTCTTTATTTTCATGACTATTTACATTGTAGATTCTCACTGAAGGCATCAAAACTATGAATGAACACATGTGGAGTTATGTACTTAACAAAAAAAGGTGAAATAACTGAAAACATGTTTTATATTCTAGTTTCTTCAAAATAGCCACCCTTTGCTCTGATTACTGCTTTGCACACTCTTGGCATTCTCTCCATGAGCTTCAAGAGGTAGTCACCTGAAATGGTTTTCCAACAGTCTTGAAGGAGTTCCCAGAGGTGTTTAGCACTTGTTGGCCCCTTTGCCTTCACTCTGCGGTCCAGCTCACCCCAAACCATCTCGATTGGGTTCAGGTCCGGTGACTGTGGAGGCCAGGTCATCTGCCGCAGCACTCCATCACTCTCCTTCTTGGTCAAATAGCCCTTACACAGCCTGGAGGTGTGTTTGGGGTCATTGTCCTGTTGAAAAATAAATGATCGTCCAACTAAACGCAAACCGGATGGGATGGCATGTCGCTGCAGGATGCTGTGGTAGCCATGCTGGTTCAGTGTGCCTTCAATTTTGAATAAATCCCCAACAGTGTCACCAGCAAAACACCCCCACACCATCACACCTCCTCCTCCATGCTTCACAGTGGGAACCAGGCATGTGGAATCCATCCGTTCACCTTTTCTGCGTCTCACAAAGACACGGCGGTTGGAACCAAAGATCTCAAATTTGGACTCATCAGACCAAAGCACAGATTTCCACTGGTCTAATGTCCATTCCTTGTGTTTCTTGGCCCAAACAAATCTCTTCTGCTTGTTGCCTCTCCTTAGCAGTGGTTTCCTAGCAGCTATTTGACCATGAAGGCCTGATTGGCGCAGTCTCCTCTTAACAGTTGTTCTAGAGATGGGTCTGCTGCTAGAACTCTGTGTGGCATTCATCTGGTCTCTGATCTGAGCTGCTGTTAACTTGCGATTTCTGAGGCTGGTGACTCGGATGAACTTATCCTCAGAAGCAGAGGTGACTCTTGGTCTTCCTTTCCTGGGTCGGTCCTCATGTGTGCCAGTTTCGTTGTAGCGCTTGATGGTTTTTGCGACTCCACTTGGGGACACATTTAAAGTTTTTGCAATTTTCCGGACTGACTGACCTTCATTTCTTAAAGTAATGATGGCCACTCGTTTTTCTTTAGTTAGCTGATTGGTTCTTGCCATAATATGAATTTTAACAGTTGTCCAATAGGGCTGTCGGCTGTGTATTAACCTGACTTCTGCACAACACAACTGATGGTCCCAACCCCATTGATAAAGCAAGAAATTCCACTAATTAACCCTGATAAGGCACACCTGTGAAGTGGAAACCATTTCAGGTGACTACCTCTTGAAGCTCATGGAGAGAATGCCAAGAGTGTGCAAAGCAGTAATCAGAGCAAAGGGTGGCTATTTTGAAGAAACTAGAATATAAAACATGTTTTCAGTTATTTCACCTTTTTTTGTTAAGTACATAACTCCACATGTGTTCATTCATAGTTTTGATGCCTTCAGTGAGAATCTACAATGTAAATAGTCATGAAAATAAAGAAAACGCATTGAATGAGAAGGTGTGTCCAAACTTTTGGCCTGTACTGTACCTAAACACTGTGTGTGTGTGTGTGTGTGTGTGTGTGTGTTTTATTGTGTGTGTGTGTGTGTGTGTGTGTGTGTTTTATTGTGTGTGTGTGTGTGTTATTGTGTGCGTGTGTGTTATTGTGTGTGTGTGTGTGTATGTGTGTGTTATTGTGTGTTATTGTGTGCGTGTGTGTTATTGTGTGCGTGTGTGTTATTGTGTGTGTGTGTGTGTTATTGTGTGCGTGTGTGTATGTTATTGTGTGTGTGGTGGGTGTGGTCAGTCATTGGCAGTGTGTTTCTGTCGGTCAGCAGGATTCCTGACAAATTCTACAGCTCAGCAACACACACACACACACACACACACACACAGTGACACACACACACAGTGGGTCGGTGTGGATCAGTCCTCCGTCAGCTGGACCTGCAGGTGAGACCTCGTTCTGTTTGTTTATCTTTGTTTACTCTTACCTGTGTGACATCATCATGACATCATCCAGGGGTTTGTTAAAAGTCAGTGATGTAAAGAAAATGTGAAGGTCGTCGTAGCCCCGCCCACCTCTGACAGTCAGATGACGTGATTGGATGCTGCTGATGTTGGTAAACATTAATTTTCTGTTGACAAACAAAACGACTTGTGTTTGTAAACAAACCTTTATTTTCTGTAAATAAGTGAAAAAACTTCCTGTTTAAATATTCATTAAATAAATAGTTTCAACAACAACAACAACAACAACAACAACATTTTCTCACAGTATTCCTGACATTTGTTTTCTTTCAATCCTTCTGTTTTTTATATTTTAAATATTTAAAAAGTTTCCTGCGTAGACGAAGTTTCTCCTTCACATGTTCGCTGTGTGTCATCTCAGTCAGTGATAAGTCGGTACTATAGTAACCTGTCGGTCAGGATACAGGTGTTGCAGTGCGTATTCAAGCTCCGCCCTCTCATCCAAATACGGTCACCTCTGGCTCCACAAACCCAAACTGGAGTCCACAGACCAGTGATGACATCACTTCCTTTCTACAGTCTGTGGTTACAGCTCGTTGGTGACTTCCTGTTTACACTGTTGATTCTTTCTGATTGGACGGTGGCTTTTTGGTCAGTCTTTACTCTGTCTCTTGAAGGGTTGATGGTGATTGGTTCCTGCTGGCTGATGGTCTGACTGACATCATCATCATCATCATCATCATCATCACAAAGACCAACAGCAGTGGGAACCAGTCAGATCCAGTTCAGATGTTCAGGTACACACCTCCCTGGCAGGTTCTCTGTCACAGTCTGGACCACGACGCCAAGGTGAGACCTCACAGACAGACAGACACACAGACAGACGTGTCAATCAACACTGTGAATTTAACACTGCAGCTTTAATTTAGTTTCAGCAGCATCATGGCAAACATGTTTACATCATCACAGCAGGTGAGAAATATAAACAAACACTAAACAAACAAACAAACAGCTCCACCTGAATCTTGCCTCTGACACGCCCACCACACAACAGGAAACACATCACAGTCTGTTTCGCACTGTCCTGTAGAAACGTGTCGCTCAGTGTGAAATTGAAGCTGTGTGTGTGTGTGTGTGTGTGTGTGTGTGTGTGTGAACAGCAGGGGGCAGCAGCTGCTCAGCAACAAGAACCAGTCAGACAGTCAGAGGACAAACTGATGGGACATAATAAAAACATTTACATTTTCAGTCAAGGCACAACATGTGTATCTCCGAGTGGGCGGGGCCTGTGTGCCGTGGGCGGGGCCTGTGATTGGACGATAGAAGCTGAACTTTGTCACTTGAGTCAGTTATTATTCAGAGTTTGTGCAGCTGCTGACACCAAACTGATCCCAGGTAAGAGCTCCTGATTCAACCACTGAAACATTACACTTGAACATCAGAAGGGTCAAATGTCATACTGAAATCATCTTTAATAACTCTGATGTAAAAACAGAAACAGGACTGAGATCATGCTTTAATGATTGTGTATGAATGTGACGATGAGTTCCATGTGAGGTGAATATTATGAAGTGTCTCTGTAGCAGCATCTTTATTAAAATACAGAATATTTACATATGAACAGTTTCGGAAACATATTTAACATGTGTGGCAAAAACATATCTGAGCTGCTGTCAGCGCCCCCTTCAGACCATCGTCCTGAAGAGGGCGCTGCAGGAACATCATGGACTCAGTAACATGGAGGAGGAAGAATTCACATCGTTGATCACAGTGAAAATACTGCACAGTAAAACCCTGTGAAGCAGGTCAAAGTTTAAAATGTCCCTGAGGTTAAATTAAAATCAGGAACACAAAGTCAACGTGTTTGACTTCAGCCACCTCTCCTCACGTGTCTTATTGCCTTCTTTTTTACTATTTGGATTTTATGCAGTTTTATGTGTGCAAATAAAAATAATAATAAAATTAAAGGTAAAAATACCAAACACAGGAATATATGTAAAGAAATACCATAAAATTATTTAAATTTAAAATAAATTAGAAAACAACTTCAGCGTTTATTATTAAAGTTCATCAACTTTCCTTTCAAACATTTTCTGTAGAACTCTGAGTTAGTAAAGACCAGTGAGCTCAGAGCTCAGATACAGGAACATGGTGCAGTCATGTGATGCACCATCTGTCCCTCTGAGGTGTGGTGCAGTTACAGTCTACAGTCGACTGTAGGAGGACCTGGCGTTGGCGTTGGCGTTGGCGTTGGCGGTGTGAGGCCGTGTATCAGCTGACAGCAGCAGTCAGGCTGTGGGCGGGGCTCTTTATCTCTGACACACAGACACACTGAACCAATGCTGCCATGTTAATGCTAATGCTAACATCTGCAGCAGAGGTCGAGCTGCGTCTGATCAGTCTTCAGAGTCCTGCTGTTGTTTCAGGATCAATAAATTTTATTGATCTGTCTGAACCCTGTTTGATCTGAAACTGATCGATTATTTATTTATTATTGATCCTTTGGAAGAAGATGATTCATCAGGTTTTATCTCAGCAGCTCACACTCATGTTTATAGATATAATGTGAACCTAAAACTACCTGGTGCACACGTCACTATAAAATATAAATATCTTGTATATGTGCGTATCATAACTATATTGTGTGTATATAACAGTCTGGTGTACACACACGCACACACACACACACGGTGGCGGTGGCCGTGTGTTGTTCTTCCTGTTAACTTTATTGACACATTCTTCAGATTCATTTCCTCCAAATCAAAGTTCACTCAGTCACTCAGTCATGTTCTCACTTTACTGTACTTTATTTTAGGTTCCTGTACTCGAGTATTTCTACTTTCTGATACTTTATACTTCTGAAGAGTCTCACTTTCTTTTTTTTTTCATTTTTGCATAAGCAGTATTTTTGATAGCTCACGTCCTTATAACAATAACTGTGTGTCATATCTGCAGTATCAGTTTGAACACAGGAACTTCAACAGAATATTTTCAGACTGCTTTTAGTCCAGTCAAAGATCTGAGTCCGTCCTGCTCCGACAGTAAAGTTCATGTTTCAGCATTAAAACACTAATGATTTACAGTAAAGGAAATAATCCTCCTCTGATCATCTGCAGCTCATTAACAGATGTTTCATAGATTTTGTTCATGAGCTCATAAAGTGACAGCAGCTTTATTACTGTCTCTCATGTCTGTGGGACATCAGAATATTTCAATCTTAATCTGACACTCACACCTCTTCATCTCAAAGACTCTGAATCCCACAATGCTTTGCAGGAATCTGTTGGATGTTTTAAAGCGTTCAGAAACACTCGCTCTGAGAGAGCAGAGCATCAGGTTCCTGAACGCACCGTCATCACATCATCCAGAACACAAACTGAGAACAGAGAAACCGAGACCTGATGCTGCTGTTTCCATAGTAACTGACCTGTCTCTCTGTTGTTTCCATAGTAACTGACCCTTCTCTGTTGTTTCCGTGGTAACCGACCTGTCTCTCTGTTGTTTCCATGGTAACTGTCCTGTCTGTTGTTTCAGAGACTCTCGGCGGGAGACCGTCAGGATGTTGTGACTCCTCAGAGTTTCCAAACATCGTGCTCTGTTCAGCGTCTTCCTCCATCAGAACCTCCGCCACCCACCGCCACCACAGCGCCCCCCGCAGCCATGGAGAGCATCCCGAGGAGGTGGGTGCTGAAGCCTCTGTCCCCCCTGCTGCAACTCTCAGATCTGCGCACCATCGCTGGCCCCACTCAGACCGACGCCTCTGCCCTGGACGATCCAGTCTTCACCTCCAGCAGCATCTCCATCGCCCGCAGTCATTCATCGGTGGTCGTCTCCTCGCAGCAGGGCAACGGGTCCGGGGACGTGGTGGTTCAGGCCCGGCAGGTCGCGGTGTCGCAGGACAGAGGGAGCACCAGCGACGAGTGGAATCCCAGCAGCCCCAGCAGTCCCAGCAGCAGCTCGGGCTCTCACTGCGGTTTCTACTCCTTCGTGGAAGATCCGACGAGTCAGGAGGCGGAACTGAACGAAGCCTGGATGGTGTCGCCGCAGCGTCAGACGCAGCTGTCGACCCTGAAGGAGGAGAAAGGATTCAGACTGCAGACGTACGCCAGCAGCAGGAAGCCAGAGAGTCTGTTTGCAGACGGAAATGGAGATGCGCAGTACAGAGTGGATCAGAGCGATGGTGTTGAGGTGGTCCGGGAGGAAGAGGAGCAGCAGCTGAGGAAGGAGATCATTCGCAGCCAAGCACCAAAGAAGAACCTGACATTCAAAGATCAGCTGAGTGCTCTGGAGAATCTGGATCTGAGCCGTTCCCCCAACAAGCTGATGGAAGGTTTCAGTGTGAGCTTCAGTCCTGTCGCCTCCAGACCGCGACCTCCGAGCCCGGCTGCGCCCGGGACCATCGACGAGGAACAGATCAACTTCAGCACCGCCCGACAGCAGTTTCTGAAGATGGAGCAGGACAGGCTGACTGCAGTCCCCAGTCCTCTGAGATCCTCCATAACACACCTGAACACGTCTCTGCAGACAGATCCTGATGCGTCCTTATCGAAGCAGGTAGAGTCATCATACCACGGCATGGAGACATACAGCGGGGTGGAGACAAGTGAAGCTCCAACAGCATTCAAACCAACAGAAGATGAGGCGTTCCCTGAGAGGAAGGTGGCGGTGTGTCAGACTGAGAAGCCTCTCAGCCGGCAGAGCAGCGTGTTCGATGACCTGGACTCCGGCCTGGAGGAGCTGTCTGTGGAGGTGGGCGGCGGCTACACCAGCGACGAAGGTGTGTTCAATGACAACACTCAGCAACAGGACAGGAGCAGTGTGTCCAAGAGTGACTATGAGACACCGATTGAGAGGGAGATCCGCTTAAATCAGGAACGTGAGGAGAACCTGCGACGCTCTCGAGGGCTGAAGCTCAGCGACAGCAGAGCAGAGATGGTTGAGATCAAAACCAAACGCTTACAGACGCTGCCGCTGCTGACACTCATCAAATCCAAAGAGAAGAACAGAGTGAGCTTCATTATCCAACGCGAGATCCAGAAGGAGAATGAGAGGAGGGAGGAGCCTCATCAGGAGGGAGGACACAGTCCAGATCCTCCGCAGGACCCGGAGGACATAAAGATGGAGTCTGTCCAGCAGGACGAGGACGAGAGGACAGAGGCCAGAGTTCAGTCTGGAGACACAGACATCTTCCTGTCTCCCTGCTGTCCTCATCGACACTCCGAAGAGACCGAGCGCTACATCAGCCAGATGAGTTCAGCTCCACCTTCCTTTTCTGTGAGGGACTCAGATGTCCAGTACACAAGAGGCCTCCGCCAAGATCTAACAACTTCTTCATCCTTCCGCGCCTCCTCCTCCTCCTCTTCCTCTTCCCCAACACCTCGACGTGATATGACCTGGACCACGCCGCGGTCCTGGAGGGAGAACCTGGAGTCCACGGGCCTGCAGTCCAGAGGGACAGGCGCTCCAGATTTCATCGAGAAGGAGATCGAGGAGGCGTTGAGACGGGAGCAGGAGCTGAAGGAGCTGAGGGAGTCCAGAGAGGAGACAGACGGACGGCTCCTCTCTCCGGCTCCTCTGGTGGAGCAGGCGAACAAGATGGCCATCAGTCAGTTCTACCCTCCTGTAAACGCAGGTATGTCTTTATCAAGGCTCAGCTACCAACCAGGACTCAGACCGCCAGAGTAATCTGATTACTGACTGTGTGTCAGAGGCAGTATTCTAATTACTTATGAACTTGTTTGGGACTGAAAACTGTGACTGACTGTGACTGACAGTGACTGGTTCATCAGATCATGATGAACTGACACAGAACACCTGAGACCGGAAGTAAACAGGAGGAGTGGTCAGTTTTTGTGCTACCACTAGTTGTCTGTGTTGCTAAACTAAGCTAAGCTAAGCTAAGCTAAGCTAAGCTAAAAAGCTGCTGGTTGTAGCTTTATATTTAGCAACAAAAAGTTGAACACTTTAGAAATATCACACAAACACAAAAGAGTCATAACATACATTTACTGAACATTCTGCAACGTTTTGAATCAGAAATTTCTAAAAACGAATCTGAGACACAACGATGACTGAAAAATAACTGAAGGAGATTTTAGAAACATTTTTTTTTAAAAATCAGCGGTACGGTGTGCAGTGGGTTTCCTTCAGGTGCTCCGACATGTTCTCCCTGTGTCAGCGTGGGTTTCGTCCGGGTATCTATGTCACCATAGATACAAGAGAGCAATGTGTTACCATCTGCTCAGATTCAGAAAACCTTCACATTTCATTTTGTAGTAACAAAAAAGCCTCGGACACAGAGACACAGACATGTTGTAAAACTGATGTAAAATACTTCAGCATTTAGAAATGTATCAGACCAGACACACACAAAAAACCAAAAAACCAAAAAACAAAACCAGAGTGCTCTGAAAGAAGACATGAGGTGGGACAATTTGTCACGTTGACTCTGTCCTCAGTGGGACCAACTGACAGGGACACTCAGGAGGAGACCTCAGTAACAGCAGACCACAGGGACATCTGACCTTTGACCTCAGCAACAGCAGACCGCAGGAACAGGCGACCTTTGACCTCGGTAACAGCAGACCGCAGGAACAGGTGACCTTTGACCTCAGCCACAGCAGACCGCAGGGACAGGTGACCTTTGACCTCAGTAACAGCAGACCGCAGGGACAGGTGACCTTTGACCTCAGTGACAGCAGACTGTCGACTGTGAGCTGCTCTGATACGACTGATCTGAGACCAATGACAGGAAGTGACATCAGCATAGTGTCAGTGAGTCAGGTGAAGAGGACGCTGCAGTCTGAGAATAAATAACTGATTGAGATGACGACCAAAGTCCGACAGCCTCAGTGGGGTCACTGCCCTCTGTGTCAATCAGTGACAGGTCTGTAACCACGGCAACCAATCAGAGTGAGACATCAGTCTGACTCACATGACTCACCTGTACAGGTAACAGAGAGCAGAGACACAGCCCCACCTGGTGGACACATGACATGACTGATAACACTACAGACCAGCTGACATTACAGCCTGTCACATATGATGTCACATATGATGTCATTGATGATGTGCTTTCTGTTGTGTTTCAGACAAACCTGTCAGTGTGTCCTCCCCCTCTCCTCGTCCCTTTGTCCGTCTGTCCTCCTTCTCCTTCATCACGGCTCAGCCCTGGTCCTACTCACCTCCTCCCTCCTCCTCCCCCGCGGCGCACAGCTCGGCGCCTCCTCCTGTCGGAGGACTGACGGACACACTGCTGCAGGACTTCGAGGAGAGACGAGTCAAACTGAAGCTGGAGGAGAGCGCAGTGAGTCACTGACACATCCAGGCTCTTATTTTGAAGGGTTGTGTACTTCCTGTCAGTGACAAATAAAATAAAACAAACAAACTCATGATTATTGATCAGTTATTGATTTGTGATAAACTGCTGATCAGCTTTAATCCTCTGTGTTTCAGTACGCAGGAATTCAGCCGGTTGATGACGTGAATAACGAGGTATGTGAATGTTCCACAGGTAACCATGGTAACCATGAACAGCGTTGTGTTTGGCTGTGTCCACTCAGGCTGGCGTAAACTACACCGCACATAAAATAACTGGACATCTCATTCGATGCCAACTTTAAGGTTAGTTGTTGTGGCCCTGCTCTGTGACAAATATATGATGTCAGCTCTACGATCCTCGTCACCGAAAACCACCGACCTGTTGTTCTGACAGCGGGTAAGCTCTGACCTGGAGGGATGACATGACCTGGAGGGATGACATCACTTAGAGCAAACGATTTGTTTAGTCGAACACATTTCTGTCTGAAGACATTTTCCCCTGAACAAATGACATAAAGCGACATGCAAACATTCAGGAAACCAACTACATCATTTCTTGCACATTATTGTGCTACAGAGTTAAGTGTTACAGAGCTGTAACAGTTAACTAACTAACAGTTAACTAACAGTTAACTTACTAACAGTTAACTATCAGTTAACTAACTAACTAACAGTTAACTTACAGTGAACTTGCAATTAACTAACAGTTAACTAACAGTTAACTTGCAATTAAGTAACTAACAGTTAACTTACAGTTAACTACCGGTTAACTTATAACTAACTAACAGTTGACTTACAGTTAACTAACTGTTAACTAACAGTTAACTAATTAACTAACAGTTAACTTACAGTTAACTAACTTACAGTTAACTTACAATTAACTAACAGTTAACTAACAGTTAACTTGCAGTTAACTTACAGTTAACTAACTAACAGTTAACTAACAGTTAACTTACAATTAACTAACTAACTAACAGTTAACTAACAGTTAACTTACAATTGACTAACAGTTAACTTACAGTTAACTTACAATTAATGAACAAACAGTTAACAGTTAACTAACAGTTAACTTACACTTAACTAACAGTTAACTTACAATTAACTAACTAACTGTTAACTAACAGTTAACTAACAGTTAACTTGCAATTAACTAACTAACAGTTAACTTACAGTTAACTAACGTTAACTTATAACTAACAGTTAACTTACAGTTAACTAAATGTTAACTAACTGTTAACAGTTAGTTAACTAACAGTTAACTAACAGTTAACTTACAATTAACGAACAAACAGTTAACAGTTAACTTACAGTTAACTAACAGTTAACTAACAATTAACTGTAAGTTAACTGTTAGTTCGTTAACTAACAGTTAAGCAGCTGTTAAGGACTCAGAACTTTCTGTGTCTTTTCTTTCGGCTGTTTTCAGGTCGTTGAGTCGACTCGAGTTACTCGACATAAAAACCAACGCGCTCTACGCTGGGAGGCCGGAGTGTTTGCCAACCGGGAGGACCAGGAGGACCAGTGAGACCAGCAGGAGCTGGCCCTGCAGCAGGAGAGGAAGAGGAAGATGGTGTCCCCTCACGAACAGGACTTTGGTCTGGTTCCTCAAGATGAGGGTAAAATGGTTTAAACTGGAACACTCCAAAGAAATGGCTGCTCCTGATTGGTCCTCTCTCCTCATCCAATCAGCTGCCTCGTGTCTGACTCCTGTAGAGTGGAAGTTAAGAGTTAAAGTGAGTGAAGAAGAGCAGTGGTTTGTTTGATCACCTGACGCAGAGAAACAGGAAGTTCCTGCTTGTTTTCATGGTTTCAAACTGACGCAGAGAAAAAAATAAAAATAAAGTTTCAAACTGTTGAACTGTCTGTGTGTCTGTCTGTCTGTGTGTCTGTGTGTCTGTCTGTCTGTGTGTCTGTCTGTCTGTGTGTCTGTCTGTCTGTGTGTCTGTGTGTCTGTGTGTCTGTCTGTCTGTGTGTCTGTGTGTCTGTGTGTCTGTCTGT